CGACACCTCGGACCTGGATGTTTGGTTCGATGCGGGGTTGGACGATTCTGTGCCAGCTACCCCGAATGCAGTCTTGGACCTGATCGGGCTCTCGATTGCCGATTTGCAAAAGAGACTATCCACTTTCATGTGCGGGCTGGCCCAAGAATACTAACCTAGATGGTCTAGCCCTCGCCACTTGGTGGAAGGACGCTGCGTCAGTTGACGCACAACTCTTGGATTGGGTTCAGCTGATGCCGGCCTCATGGCAGCCTTATGCAAAACCCGAAGAAGACACCTTTACTTACGCGGGGTTCTGCGACATATACCCCACCGTCCAGATTGCCACCATTTGGAATGTATGGCGCGTTTGCCGGCTCATGGTCCTACGGATGCAGCTCTATCTACTTACGAAAGCGCCCCCCGAAGTGCTGCAGCAAACCATCTACAATTTCCCAGATCCCAATCGCGGCAGGGAGTTGGTGGACTCCATCTGCCGGTCCATGCCGTTTTACCTGGGCAACCGCCAGAAACACGGAGGCATACACGACTTGGCGGACCCAGCCATCAGAATCCCCAACTACCACGACCAAGACTTGGACGAAGCCGTGCGTACGCAATATCTCCGAGGGGATCAGGCGATGAGCCTCCTCGATTACAAGCGACATATACTGGTTCAAGGCCCTTCGCACGCACTGCTTCACTTGAATAGCTTGATCAAAGTACTGTCAAAGGAGGGCGGAGAGCTCATCAGTCGTGGGCTGCGTGGGGGCCAAGTCGTCTGGATACAGGAACAGTTTCTCAGGGTCTGCAAACTTACTGACCCGGTTAACCGGTCTAACTGGTAGCGGGCCAAGGCATCGAATGGCGGTGGTTGGTCCGGACCATACCGCCTGTCTGCGATCAATTGGCTAATCCTGCAGCAACGTTGGGTCTCTCACACTGAGGTGCCTCAGTAAGACCCCGTTATTAGGGAGTCAGGGGGTATGTTACACTCAAGCCAGGCCGCAGCGCGGAAAGCGGGGTTCAATGATGCTTGATTCCATCACTGTTTGGCTTTTTCTTTTCTCACATCATCCTCCCTTTTCTCAGACGGTACTTGGAGTAAGAGCTTGAAACCATAGTAGCCCTTCATTAAAAACCAGCCAAACCCAGTTACCACCCGGATAGGATCCCGATTCTCGGCCAGAGATGGCCGAGGCATTCGCGCTTGTCGGCCTCGCATCGAGCATTGTCGCATTCATTGATTTCAGTCTAAAGATTATCGCCGCTGCCAAGTCGGTTCGAGACTCGGGCCACAAGACACTCCCTAGGGTGCATGAGATCGGAGTCGTTCTAGAAGATGTTCGCCTCTCCAACCTCAGAGTGATACAAGCGGTTGTTCAAGGCGGTTCACTTTCCGAAGCAGAACGACACATCATGGCTATGGCGACCGAGTGCGACAGATTGGAACAGGAACTCCGAGGTGTAGTTGAAAAGCTTAAGATCAACGGCGCCTCGAGATCCAGGACGATACAGAGTGCGCGATTGGCGTTGCGGATGTACAGGAAAGAAAAAGAAATCGAGGAACTCCACCGCCGTATCCTGAACTTGGATGCTCGTATCAGGAGCAACCTGCAGATGATTTTGGATAGGAGAAGTAGCTCAGAAACCCTTTCGAAGCTTTCTGCCCTGAAAAGGTCCCAGGAAGAGCTGGGAATCAAGTACAACTCCAAGCTGGATAGAATCCAGGAGAATATCCTGCAGCTTTTTGAGAGCGAGCAGGCGCGAGATGGGCAATTGGTCGCCTTAAAGAAGCATCTCGACTCACTGGTCCAGGAAAGCGCAGTCTGCCAGAAGCAATACCGAGTCATCAAAAGCCTGTACTTCCCCGAGTTGTTACGCCGCTGGTCCGACATAACCAATGCCGACAAGTTCACAAACGACTGGCTCTTCGACTCAACGAAGACAAAGTTTCTGGCGTGGCTCAAGGATGGGAAGGGCATATACTGGATTAGCGGTAAAGTATGATGAAGTGCCTCCGCTATAAGTCAAGTATTTCCAAAGACTGACATCGTCTTGTCATACGATTGAAGGCAGGGAGTGGCAAGTCAACCCTGATCAAGTTCGCAGCCAAGCACGACCGAACGGCCGCCGCTCTCAAAGAGTGGGCTGGCTCCGCGCAGCTACACACCGCTAGCTTCTATTTCTGGAACCAGGGATATGAGATGCAAAAGTCTCAAGTCGGCCTTTTTCAGTCGCTGCTTTACCAGATTCTAAAACAGGCCCCCGAGCTAGCTCAGCTTCTCTGCTCGGACGCCCGCCTGGACCACGAGAGATGGGAGTTGAATGACCTCAAGAAAGCATTTGAATCTATCGCGGCGCAGAGCGGGTTGTCCACCAAATACTGTTTCTTCATCGACGGACTTGACGAGTTTCACGGAGACGAAGAGACCGTTCTCAGTTTCTTGTCATACTTCTCCGATTCCAAATTGGCGGATATCAAGATCTGCGTGTCGAGCCGGCCGAGGGCCTTGTTCAAGTCCTTTGAACAGAGCGTCAATTCGCTTATTGTCCAACACTACACCGAAAAAGACATGAGAACCCATGTTCGGGCCGAGCTCCAGATGAATGGCAAGTTCAACAAGCCTTCCAAAGGCCGGCTGCGAGGAGATCATCGCTCGAGATTTCCCAGCAATCACAGGGGGTATGGCTCTGGGTTTACCTTGTGACCCGCGACCTGGTTCATGCGGTGAACCGCGACGAAGGATTCGATACGTTAAGGGAAATTGTTCGCCAATTCCCGCCAGACTTGGAGGCCTACTTCGAGCATGTTATCAAGCGTGTCAAGCATGTTCATCGTGTCGAGATGGCTCAGATCTTCTTGATAACGACCGAACAAGCCCAGCCGCTGGCATTGTTCTTGTTCTCCCTGATCGGCACGGAGAACTGTGATTCTGACTATGCCATGAAGGCACCGATACGTCCACTCGACGACGAGGAAGTCTCGAAGACGGAGGAGCAGTGGAAAGCTCGGATCCAGAATAGATGCGGCGACCTCCTGGTCCTCAAACAAGTTTACCGCTCCTCGACCCTCGGTCGCGTCAGCCGCATTGCAGTAGACTTCCTCCACCGGACGGTCCGAGACTTTCTCCGAGACTGTTACTACAGCCAGCTGAAAGAAATAGTCGCCCCCCGACCATACTTTGACCCCCTCTTATCCCTCTGTCGAATGATGCTCTTTTTACTCAAATCCGTCGACGACAAAGCCAGCATCATCGGAACTCACGCACCAACTCCTCTACTACCGCCCACGAAATCGAAAAACGCAGCGCCGAACCCGGCTACCGGCCCCCTCCCCCATCGCCGAGCTCCTTGATGAAGTTAATCGGCGTCAACAACAAGCACGCAGATCGGCATCTTCTACGGAGCAACAGGGCTACTCTTTGGGAAGCGCAGTACTTTGAGGAGGGGACAGCTTCCTCGCGCTTGCCATCGAGGCACTGGTTGGTGAGGTATGTCCGGGCCAAGCTCGCGGCCGGCCCCCGACCACCGCAGAAACAGGGCCGACCGCTGTTGGATACTGCTCTCCGTCCGATCAATAAGCTGTTCCATCTCAATGGAGGCCCGCGGATGGTGGACGTTGATATAGTTCGCCTGCTGCTGGAGCACAATGAAAACCCAAACCAAAGTTCGGATATCTTTGGTCGGAGGACTGTGTGGGTGCTTTTTCTGACGTCGTGCGTTGCGGGATTGAAAAGTCATGAACTCACCGCGGCCGTGAGGGAGTCGTGGTACCAGGCGAGTGCGTTGCTTTGCCTATATGGCGCAGATCCGCAGGCACAGTTTGAGGACGATGATTCGTTGACAGTCGAGAGTGTTTTAGAGAAGCTATTTGGAAGTGACCAGACGCGGAAACTCCAAAAGCTGATGGCTGAGTACCGGACGCGGCAGCTCAAAGAGTCGATGGCTGAGCATCACGAGCCGATCGCTGAGCATCACGAGCCGATGTCTGAGCATCAAGAGCCGATGTCTGAGCATCAAGAGCCGATGGCTGAGAATCAGGAGCCGATGGACCTGACAAACAGGGGTTCTTGGTTTCCGAGTCTAAATATCAAGCGGTGGTTATGGTAAATAAGGTCCCTGATATGTCAATAAGGTGGCACCCTAGGTTCGGTTGTTTCTAGGATGATTCGTGTTAGAAGCTAGAATCTGCTTCTTTTATCGACGTGTCTATGGAAGGAATTTTGCTAATTGACGATAACATATTGGCTCAGGTTCACAGGCACTCACTTTGACAGTATGGAACATTTTGCGAAAGAGACGGCCAAGCCCGCTGGACCGCGTCTTTTATTGATAGACCAAGTTTAAAGCACTGAAAGCGTTTGGGCAATGATGTATAGAGCTGCAGAGAGGCTTAATTGTTCAAAACCGAGAACCGCTCGTGTAGGTACATCCAGTCATCATACATGTTACCTTGGTCGTTCTGGGCGCAGATGGATTAGGTACTTTCACCAATACCCTCAATTGTGGTGATGGAAATCCCTACCTGTCCACAACAAACCTCGATCGCGCTAGCCCTCCATAAACCACAGTGCCAAAGTGTCGTGTCCTACGTAGTCCTCTTGGACCTTGAGTGGCAGCCTCCGTGTGCGTGCTGGGCTGTGAGCTGTCTGGTGCTCCCGTGCCGTGTCTACGGGGAATATGATACGGCGATGGAGTACGTGACGCATAATACCCGTTGCATTTGTTTCCGGGCACAGGGCCCAAATTAGTGAATGAATAAGGATATTTAAAACACCACGTCCACATGTGATGGGATTGTAACACAGCCAAGTGCCTCACGCATAGTCGGCGAGGGAGACGGGCACGATGGCGGGGGCGAGGATCGATTCAATAATCCAACAATTCAAATATTGCCGTAGGTGACTTCCCTTCCAGGAGTCCGCCAATGGGGACGTAGCAACCTCCTAAACCCAAAAATATGTACAGTAGAAGCCCAAACCCATCCCACCAACCCCCTCAACCCTCAACCCTCATTGAACCTCACCAACCCACTCCTCAATAAGGGCTAACCCACGGCCTGCACTTGTTCGCCGCGCAGTATCCCGCACAGCAAGGACCCACATACTGGCCGTTACGGTAGCAGTCGCCGTAGGTGGGCACGCACATGCCCTGGCAGCTGACGCCCGTGATGGGCGAGGGGGGCCCGACGAGGATCTGGTTGACGCCCGTGGACGAGATGCTGCTGGCGAGGGTGGCGTCGCCGTTGATATGGAACTGGCACTGGTAGTAGGCGTTGTAGTCGGGTGCGTCGATGATGTTGACGGCGATGTTGTTGTCTGTGTGTGAAGGGGGGTGTTAGTGGGCGGTGTTGTATGTTTGGGTGAAGGAGGAGAAGGGGGGTTGCGTACTGGTTGGGTGGATGGTGCCGTCGGCGGGGATGGCGAGAGAGTACTCGGCCGGGCCACCGTGGAAGGTGAGGTGGACGGTCTGGACGTCGTCACGCTCCTCGAGGGGCATGGCAGAAGTGGTGGCCAGGAGGCCCAGGGCCGGGGCAAGGATGCTGAGATACTTCATGGTGCTGGTTGGGGGTGTTATCCGTTGAGTCTCAAGATGAGATGATATGTTGCAATGAAGTGGACTGATGTCGACAGCTCGGCCAAGTTAAGAAACAGCTCGAAGTTGGGCCGTCTCTTTTATATTCGCCCACCCCCACATTAGCCGAACGTGGCGTCCAGGCTCCAGCTCCCATCTCGATGCATCATCGGTTATTTTCGTCAGCCAAGGCAGGCCCATGCGAGGCACGCCACGCAGACATCACCAGTTCGCAATCCAGCCATCCACGATGTCACGCTGTTTTCGGGAACCACTGTGCTACCCAAGGTAATACGAAGTTGGGGCTTGGCATCCTTGTTGTGGCGCTGGAAACAACACAGCAGCTGACCCCAGATCGGCTGGATACGGTTAATATGATTCGACAGAAGCCGCTGCAGCGTCCGTTGGCAGCGGGACGCAGGAAGCAGCCGGGTCTTCAGCCCTGTAGCGCGCTACGACTGCATGAAGCACCCGACTTTCCGGTAAGTGTTGAATAATTGCTCGCCCAAGGCTCCGACAACTTGCCGCGGGATCCGCTAGCACGCTGGTCGTGGTTCAAAGGTTGGACGCGGGAAGACACGAGCTACTGGAGATCCAATGGTGGTGAGAGTAAGACGGAGGAATGGAGTCGCGGCACGGTCATCCCACTCAAATTTCTCAGGCCAGCCCCTCACCGCCTCCCGTCAAGTTTGAACACGAAGGCCGGGATTGGTTGTGATGTCAAGCAGACGGTTGTAGGCTATGATGTGTTAGCTGATGTTCAAAAAGAGTAACAATTGTCATGTCCTCCACACCACATAACAGTTCCGCCAATACTGGGTTGGAATATCTCACCTGATCAACATTTGCCGGGGAGATCGAGCGAGTTAGGATTCCGAACCAAGCAGAAGGTCTACCGCTGTTTAGTGCTCGATCAGTTCAGTCGCAGTTCTTCACCGAGGCCATGGTAGGGCCGTGGCATGCGTAGACGGGCTTCAAAATCTCTTGTAGTGAAGTTCAGTTCCCCAACCGGCCCTTCTAAACTGAAGCTGGCAAGCGGTTTAGTTGAATTGCAGCAAAGGAAGTAGACTCGTACCTTACCTAAGGTAGGTAACCTCCCTATTCAACAGATAATATTAAATGATAACGTAGGTGGCTGTTTGTTTGCTAAGATGACATGGACACTAGCAGCCCGTCATGGGAAACATGTCATTATTTCGCGGATAACGGTGATGAGAGAGGCCCGGGGCGGTGCCTAATCCAGAAGTAACATTGTTGATTCGATATCAAATGTACAACTTGCTGTCAATTCTGGCCGTCGAATCTGGCTGGGCCGTGCTGCCATTTTCGGGTGCTTCAACAAGTTGCACCCACCCACTGGAAATCGACGAGGCATCTTAAGAGATAGTCGTTATGGGCATAAGCACTGTCTCGTATCACACGATCTTGATCGAGGTCTTGCCGCCCTTCGATGGCCATGTGGCCTCGTAGTTCTTGACGACTCCGATCCTCTCATAAGTCGGCTCCTCCTCCTCAGTCCGTCTCAGAACAAGCCAATAACCGGTCTCCTGCGACTCCATGATCTTCGCACAGCAAATCTTGTCCTCACCCTTCCACAGCCACTCACCGTGCTCATCACACAGCGCCACGTCCGGGACAAACCACGCCGGCTCTTTCTTGCCCACCCGAACCATGAACGTCCCAGGCCCGAGCTGGTCCAAGGCAGCCTGTGGGCCCTTGATGCCCTTAACCACTGCATCCCGGATATCCGTCCACGGCTTATTCGGGACAAGGTACGGATCGTCCGCGAAGCACAGCGACGCGTCCACCACCTTTGCCGAGAGCATCACATACGACTCGCCCCGCTTCACCTGCCCACGCTCATCCCTCCCCGCCGGAACGCTACGCACCTCCAGCACCGTAGCATCGACAACCGCGCCAGCCCACTCCGGCGGCCCCGCCAGGGGGATCAGAAAATTCACCGGCGCATCGGGGGACGCCCACGACCACGACGGCGCCGGGCGGACGTCGTCAATGGCCAGCCTCGCCACGGCATTGACGCTGGTCCGCTCAAACAGCAGCGCCTCGGGCAGCGTCTCCTCCCACTGGCCGGCGCGGTACCGCATCCCCAGCGCCGCCACCATCTCCGCCGCCACCCCCGAAAACGCCGGCAGCCGGTCCCCCGAAAACGTCAGCGCCCGGTTCGTATACTCCTCCACCATCTCCTCCCACCGCGCGAGCAGCTTCTTTTGTCGCTTCCCCTCGCTGGACTTGCTCTTGCTCTTCGCCTTAGCGGTCGCACTGGTACCGACGTGCAGCGCGGCGTAGTGCGAGACTTTCGGCGGCAGCTGGCCGGTGGTGTCGCGGCTGGCGTAGACGCCCATGTGGGCGGGGCGCGACGAGGCCTCGTCGATGCCGCCGCAGTCACAGGCCAGGCGCTGCATGCACTCCCAAAAGACCTCGTGCGGGCCGAAGTGCAGCACGCGCGGCGCCAGCAGCCGCTCCTGGTACGCCCACGCGCGCGCCAGCAGCGGGAGTTGCGCTTGCTGCTTGGCTGGGTTCGCGTAGCGCGAGAAGTCTGGGTGCGCGGGGGCGAAGCGGAGGGATAGGCGGAGATCCCGGCGCAGTTGCGCGGCTTCGGGGAAGAGCGTGTCTAGCGTGTCGTCCTCCGGGTCGTCGGCTGCGATCCAGACGGCTTGTCGGCGGCGGAAGATGCCGCTGCTGGGGGATGATGAGGCGGTCGCGTACACGGTCAGCCACGAGTTGCGGTAGACGCTCGCCATGCGGCTGGCTTCTAGCTCCCAGTCGGATGGGCTGTCCTGGATGATGCACAGCGAATCGATCCACAGGTACCGGACGCCCAGCCGCCGCGCGATGTGGCAGGCGTCCCGGAAGGTGGCCGGCAGGCTGCTGAGTGGTATCCCTGCCTTGTGCTGGTCGAGAGTGGCTGTCGTGGTGATAAGCGGGTGCTCGCCTCCCCAGCTGTGGGACAACGAGATGTAGCGCCCAGTCTGGCCGGATGACTCGATCAGGCGGATATCCGACTTTTCGCCGTTCTCTTCACCGTCGAGCTCGCCAAGATCTAGCACCCGCGTAGGGAGTGTAGAGGGTTCATCCTTCCCGCAGAGTTTGTGGTTGGCCAGACACTCCTGGATCCAGGTATTCGCCTGCGTGAAACTGCTTTCTGCTGCCGTGTCCCCTCCCGGCTCATATGGCTGTGGCTGATCTACCTTGAACCAGCGGTACTTCAGTTTGATCGTCTCTTCCGGGCACACATGGCTGAGAGAGCCGTTCGGGTCGGCATACACGGTCATCTCGCGGCTGCGGTAGAATCGGAAACTTGCATCCTCACCGAAGCGCGTCTCCAGGTCGGGGATGAGGTAGAGGAGTCCCTCCAGCATGTTGGCGCAGTAAGGGCAGCCATCCTCTGCGTGGCTTTGGATTTCAGGCAAGGAGGACCACCGCTCCCGAAACTGTGCAACACAAAGGCCGCACTTGGGGTCACCTGCCGACACGGGCATCTGCACGTGGTTGCCGTATCGAGACATGGTGGCGCGTCGACGAGGGAGTTGTGTGAAGGTTTTGACAGTTCGACATTGGGCTCCACGTTCAACGACACCCAGATTTGCTGCGCGGCTGCAAGGACTCTAGTGTTGCAGGGTTCGGCGGATAGATAGGCCGACTGACGAAGGCGTCGAGACGAATTCATGCAGGCCCATTGACAGGTAGGGATACCCTAGGCGACCACCTCGTTAAACCAAGCAACGAATAATGGGAACTTGTAAAAGCAGTTGGAAGACCATGACGGATAATGCTTGGGTTCTCGCGCTACAGGACCTCGAGGAGGGTAATCAGGCATAGCGACGGTCGCTGAGTCTTCGAGATGTGTAATTACTTGGGGATATCGAGTAAAAGATGGTTCCGGACAGTTGTAACTAAGTCTGTTTAGTTCGGTTCTGCTGGTTGGTTGCCGGAGAGAATGAGAAGAGCTAGCTGAACGGTTAACCGACATTGACGCGTTGAATATCGTAGTTGCTGCCTGGCACCGGACTCAGACCGCGGGCTGCCGAGTCGTCGACCGGGAAGTGCTGTTTCAACGGTTGAACGAACCTGGAGCCAACGGATTAAGAATGGCATAGATGAGGTTGTGTTGGTTCTTAGCCGTCTCATGCTGGGTTCAATAAGCTGTTGATTTACCATTAAAATCCAGCTCGAGGTTCTGAGCCGCTTGTTGGCAAGTGCGAATATATCCCGGCTTGGTTTCGACCAGCCGCTTTCGTTGATCAGCGGCTCCATAGCCATTGAACCGCTCAGAGAAATGAGTAGCTCATATGCATGAAGCGGTTCAATTATAGAAGCTGTTGAATTGGCAACAAGCCGCTGCCTAGCGGTTAGTATATGGCTTGTAAACCACGAGCCGTTCCAAACCACGAGCCGCTCAGTAACGCGAGCGGGGTCCAAGTGTTGGACGTTATACGGGTTTAACGAATATTGGCACAGCGCAGGACACGGGGTTCATTGGGGTCGAAATTTAAAATGGGTTCAACTGATTTCTTGTCACGGAATGACCCCGAGGCGGCCAGGGCGGCCACAGCCGACAGCGCAGGACGCCGGCAGCCAATCGCTTAAGGACCAATAAGAACTGGATTATCACCAGTTGTCAGTGATAATGGACGATTATCACTAGTTGTCAGTGATAATGTACTCCCCGGAGCGGCGGAAACCCTGGGCCGAGAGAACGACGTGCAGATCGCCAAGTTGGCTTGGTTGAGCCGGAAGGACACTGCGAAAGCGTATGGATCGATGGTGGTATATATCACCAAAGCCGGCGATGCTAAGAGGCTCATCAATGAGGGTTTCTTCCACGCGAGAGGCGAATCGGGATACACGGGAATCTTCGAACGTCGGGCGCGGCCGAACCAATGCTACAACTGCCAGCAGATTGGCCACAAAGCTTTCCAGTGCAGGAACCCTCAAGTGTGTGGAATGTGCGCTAGTGAGGGCCACCGTCACAGCGAGTGCTCAGCAGCTATACCGAAGTGCGTTCTGTGCGGAGGACCACATGAATCGTTCAGCAAGAATTGCCGGAAGCTCTATCCATCTCGTCATGAATAGGACGTTTCAGGTCATCCAATTGAACGTCAGAAAGCAAGGGGAGGTGCATGATAGTTTGATGAACGACGTGGCAATCCAGGACGCTGCCGTCATAGCCATTCAGGAACCCCAGGCGCGGAGGATCCAAGGACGGCTCCTGACGACCCCTATGGAGCATCACAAATGGACCAAGATGATCCCGTGCACGTTGAAGGAAGGTAGATGGGCTATCCGGAGCATGCTCTGGGTGAACAAAATCGTGGAAGCCGAGCAGGTGGCAGTGGACTCCCCGGACATCACGGCAGCAGTCATACGGCTCCCGGAGCGCGTAGTCCTGGTCGCGTCCGTCTACGTACCGTGTGGGGACGGCGAGGCACTAAAAGACACCTGCGAGAACCTCCGCAGGGTGGTAGCAAAGGCGAAACGGGGCGTAGGAACGACTGTCGATATAGTGGTTGCAGGTGATTTCAACTGCCACGACCAAATGTGGGGAGGAGACGACGTCTCATCCGTGAGACAAGGGGAAGCCGACCCCATCATCGACCTCATGAACGAGCTGACTCTAAGCACTCTACTCCCAAGGGGCACAATAACATGGCAAGCAGGTGGATACGGTTCGACTATCGACCTGGTCCTGGCCTCGGAGGAACTGGCAGAAGCCGTGATCAGATGTGGAGTCCATAGAACGGAACACGGTTCAGATCACCGCGCGATTGAAACAGTCTTCGATATTGAGGTACCTGTGCCGACGCACCACGACCGACTGCTTCTCAAGAACGCGCCATGGAAAGACATCAGAGCCAAAATTGCAAATACACTAGGGGACACCCCAGCGGAGGGGACAGTCCAGCAGAGAACGGACCGCCTGATGTCCACTGTCTCAGGCGCGGTTCATTCCCTCACTCCCAAAGCCCGGCCATCGCCATACGCAAAGCGATGGTGGACTACGGACCTGACGCAGCTACGTCACATCTACACGCACTGGAGGAACCGCGCTCGCTCGGAACGCCGGGCAGGTTGGACCACAGCCGAGATTGAGGAATTGGCAAAGGGTGCAGCAAAACAGTACCACGATGCCATCCGGCAGCAGAAGAAGAAGCACTGGGCCGAGTTCCTTGCGGACAACGACAACATTTGGAAGGCTGCAAAGTATCTAAAATCCGGAGATGATACCACGTTTGGAAGGATCCCGCAACTTGTTAGAGCAGATGGTACATCCACGGCCGATCATAGAGAACAGGCCGAAGAGCTCCTAACAAGATTCTTCCCGGCCTTGCCCGATACGATCGACGATGAAGGTCCAAGACCACAGAGGGCACCCATCATGACGCCTATCCTTACGATGGAGGAAGTCGAACGACAGCTGTTCGCAACGAAGTCCTGGAAGGCACCAGGGGAGGACGGTTTGCCGGCAGTGGTGTGGAAGGAAGTCTGGCAGGTGGTCAAGCACCATGTACTGGCGCTCTTCCGTGCCTCACTGGAGGACGGGGCCCTTCCCAGCCAGTGGCGACATGCTAATATCATCCCGCTCAAGAAACCGGGCAAAAAGGACTACACCATCGCAAAGGCGTGGAGACCAATCTCCCTCCTAGCAACGCTGGGCAAAGTGCTGGAGTCGGTGATCGCGGAACGGCTGTCCCACGCCGTGGAGACCTACGGCCTCCTGCCCACCAACCACTTCGGCGCGCGGAAGCAGCGATCAGCAGAGCAGGCGCTGGTATTTCTACAGGAGCAGATCTACACGGCCTGGAGAGGACGGAAGATTGTCAGCCTCATTAGCTTCGATGTCAAGGGAGCCTATAACGGAGTCTGCAAGGAACGGCTGGTCCAGAGGATGAGGGCACGTGGTATCCCGGAAGAGCTGTGCCGATGGACAGAAGCTTTCTGTTCTGACCGTACGGCCTCTATCCAGGTCAACGGGCATGCTGCAGAACGACGGGACCTCCTCACAGGCTGGCCTGCCCCAAGGCTCGCCCCTCTCCCCTATCTTGTTCCTCTTTTTCAACGCGGATCTGGTCCAGCGAAAGATCGATAGCAACGGATTGGTGCAATAGCCTTTGTCGATGACTTTACCGCCTGGGTCACAGGACCGACGGCACAAAGCACACGCAAGGGCATCGAAGCAATCATCGACCAAGCACTAGACTGGGAAAAGAGAAGCGGAGCGACATTTGAAGCAGACAAGACAGCCGTCATCCACTTTACCCGCAAGGCCTATAAAGCCAACTCGGAGCCCTTTACGATCAAGGGTCAAGATGTTCAGCCGAAAGACCACGTTAAGATCCTTGGAGTGGTCATGGATGCCAAGCTCAGGTATAAGGAGCATATCGCAAGAGCGGCCTCCAAAGGGCTCAGCGCGGCGATGGAGCTGAAACGGCTCAGTGGTCTATCCCCGGCTACGGCGCGGCAGCTGTTCACCGCCATGGTCGCGCCAGTGGTGGACTACGCATCCAGCGTCTGGATGCACCAATGTAATTGGAAGACCGCGCCGGCCATACACAGGGTGCAGAGGGTCGCGGCGCAAGGGATCATAGGAACGTTCAGCACGGTAGCAACACGCGTAGCAGAAGCAGAAGCTCACATCCCCACGGCTCAAGATCGATTCTGGAAGAGGGCGATCAAGATGTGGACGGACATCCACACCCTACCAGAGACGAATCCACTCCGCAACACCACTTCCCGGATGCGCAAGTTCCGGAGATCCTACCGCTCCCCTTTCTTTCAAGTAGCAGATCTCCTCAAGGACGTCCCATTGGACAGCCTCGAAACCATCGCTCCCGTCGTATTAGCGCCATGGGAGAGGCGAGTCCGCACTACGGTTGACAGAACGGGCATCCAGCAAAAAGAGACAGAGTGGGCGGTCCGGATCGCCGTAAGCAGCTCCGCACGAAACAACATGGTCGGGATCGGAGGAGTCGTCCGTCTCCCGCTGCCGATGCGAGATGGCTCAAGGAACGAAGCCTTTAGTGTGACGCTGGGCTCCAGGTCGGAGCAAAACCCGTTCTCAGGCGAGCTTGCGGCTATTGGGTACGCGTTGAGGTTGATTCGAAATATCAGGTACCGAAAGATCATCCTTGCCACCAGCAACAAGGCAGCCGTGATGGCCTTGGAGCGACCACACCAGCAATCAGGACAACAATATCTCTGTCAGGCGTACGATGCGATAAGTGCCTTACGCAAGGCGGGAAACACGATCTCGGTCGTCTGGATCCAAGCGGGTACCAAAAACGAGCTCCTGAACACAGCCAAAGCGAAAGCAAAGGAAGCAACACGGCAGGACGCTACGCCACAAACGCAGGATCCTGCCATGCGGTCAACAGCCCTCCGTATCGCATGGGCAAAGCGGGCACCGCCCACGTCCTTACCTGACAAAGTGGGCAGACATTCCAAGAGAGTCGATATAGCGTTACCAGGGAAGCACACCCAACTATTATACGACCACCTGTCCCGAAGCGAGGCCGGCGTGCTTGCTCAGCTTAGAACAGGCATGGCCAAGCTCAACACATACCTGCATCGCATCAAAGCAGCACCGTCAGACCAGTGTACGTGTGGACAAGCCAGAGAGACAGTGGACCGACTTCCTCTTCCGATGCAAGCAATGGGATCAACACCGTAGGGAGATGCTGCAATGTACGGATGTCCACAGGGGGAACCTCTCCTTCTACCTGGGAGGAAAGTCGCCCTCGGATGACAAGGACTGGTCCCCCAACATGCGGGCGGTGCGGGCGACGATACGTTTTGCCATTGCCACAGGTCGTCTGAGGACTGAACAACAACAGAATGAAGCAAACTAACCTCACCATCCTAAACCCCGACTAACAACCCCCTTCATCTCGTGTCACACGGAGTAAGCGCGCTTCAGCCGCCGAAGATAGGACGTTGGACACTTGGAGACTAGCCTTCAAGCCAGCTTACTATTCGTACAACTAACCCACGAGCATCCGCAGCAGAGAGGGCAAAATTGTAAGGAGATAAGCCAGAAAAGGAGGATGTACGGGCTTCATGAGATCAGGATCCATTTTAGGATATGTATTAGTAGATTGCATGATAGTTGCCCTTTCGGGTTAGGCCCGCCGGGCGGAATAAATTGTGTGTGTGTGTGTGTGTGTGGACGATTATCACTAGTTGTCAGTGATAATGGACGATTATCACTAGTTGTCAGTGATAATGGACGATTATCACTAGTTGTCAGTGATAATGGACGATTATCACTAGTTGTCAGTGATAATGGACGATTATCACTAACAGAGTGGTGATACTAGATAGTATATAGTCACTCGTACTAGAGAGCTCTAGGAGTTCTCCAGTTAGCAATCACAACTACAGTTCGCTACAAGCTCGAAAGCCTACTGTTGAGACAAGTCTTTGTTGTGCACCCTTTGGCTGCACCGAACCTAAGCACCCTTGAGAGATTACCTTCAACCGAAGCTGAACCCTAACAGGACAGGGTCCTGAAGTAGGTTCGTCACATTTCTTGATTGATGATTCTCGCAGATTCGGAAGCCGCCTTTTCTCTGTCCCCAATTCGGGTCTGGTGCCTGGGGCTTACCAAGGTGAGCCTGAGGCAGTCTGATTACTCATCCTTTCCAACAACTATTCTCCCACACCTCTCCATATATCGCTTACATCACCAGCCTACTGCAACCTGCATCCATGCTCGCCCCCTGGCTCCACCCAGTTGCCTTGTGCCATACTCCCATTGCCCGTCGTGCCGCACTATGGATATGCTGTGTTGTGATCAAGTGAACTGCACTCGCCAGTTGACACAGAGAAGCTGGGTGTCGTCAGTGAGGTCGTGGTTGATGTTGGTCACCAAGCGCCGACCATCCTCTCCTGCCTCGGTGGTGAATGGCACCATGTACAACCGGCTGCGATGGAGAGCGGGTAAACCGACAATCAGCTGGCAACAGCGATCATCTTCCTGTGCCATGCCGATATGTTGGCCGGGCTGAGCAATCTGCATCAAGGGAAGGCCCGTGAGAGGCTCCGAGGCCTCTATCTTGCGGAGTGGAGTAACGATGAGGAAGACATAAGTTGTGCCTGCAGATCATTGGCATTGTTAGCAAGTCATACCTGGTACGCAACTCCACCAGACAAGGGGGGCTGCCTATAAGCAGTGATTGCAGATGGCACAGAGGGCGCTCCCCGTGGCCCGTGTAGAATGTGGACTAACCTGCAATGGGTTCATGCGTCATGATGTGGTCCAGCCGGCCGATGTCGCCAGCTATCCGGAAAGCTACGTACTGCCCTCGCTGACAAACGAGACGCCGAGCCCCAGTCGGGTTGTTGCTAAATGATCCGTTAATGCGCCGTAGTAGGGAAGGGGGCGGTCGTGTACATACCTGTCTGCGAAGGAGACCTTTTTCCACCAGCGTACCCGTAAATTGGTACTCATGATGATGTTCCTACCATAGTCAGCCCGGTATGCATCCTGAACCTGCCGAGCAAAGACCGGCTGGAATTCAGCCTCGCGAGTGGGGAAACCCATCGCCTTGTATACCCTGGCTTTGACCGCTATCAATACAGTCGCCGCTGGATGAGACCCGTCGGTAACGATCCTGAGTGTGATGGACGAGTCATCTTCGTCCTCTGCATCATCTCGGGCAAGCTCGTCGTGCGGGAGCAATGAAGAGAACAACGTCGGTACCGATGCTGCAAGATTCTTCAGTTTCTTGGTTATATCCGGCTCGTCCTGGAAGCCATCCAGCAAGATAAGGCGCACAGTCTGCATCATATTCTCGTACGACAGGCAGTCCTTCTCGGGGTTGCGGTGGTTCATCGTAACCACAAGGTTCTTCCATAGCCTGTCCACCAAGCGCATCAGTCGTGGCTTAACACTCGAGGGCAATACCACTTACTTATGCTTCATCTCTCCTGGCAAGACCATCAACAGCGAAACCAATCCATACCGGCGATACACGTCGATGTAGTGCAGGCCGATATGCACATTCGGGCGAGCGCTCCACTGTCGATACTTGTGGGCTTTTTGGGCGACGGTATGCTGGTCGATGTTGACATCATTGTCGACAGCATCGTCCTCCTCGATCTCCATCGTAGCCATAGTGTTGGCCATGGCGGCTGCTGCTGCTGGTGTTGATATCCCGCCAGCCACGGCGGGGGCCCACAGAAGCTGCGCGCGAGTTTGCCGCAGTACCGCGTCCACGACGACGAGCAGCACGGGTCGATTGGTCAGTGGACTGCGCTGCAGCTTCACACATTAGCTGAAATAACCGTCTGCTAAGGCGAATACTCTCAAGCATCGCCTTGTCGTCGCGATCTTCTATAGTCATCTCAGGGGTTGACAAGGCCGAGTTTGTCTTGACGATCGCAGCCAAGGTGATAGTTAGAATGTCGATAAGGCTCTTACCGTCCAACTTCGTGGCTATAGTTGCGTCAATTGAACACGCAGTGCTAGCTGTCAGCTTGGACTGATCAAACACTGCCTTCATTGCACGGGCAAAAGGGCGCTTGAGGTCAGACTCCTTCAACCATAATAGCGAGATTATGGTCATCAAGACAGACCAACGGGCATGCTCCTGCAAACTGTACCTTAGTACATTGTATGGGGATTGGATTCGAGCCCATCCGGGTGGGAACGGTATTCGACGCAAGGCTTTAGTGTAGGCAACGACGCTGTCGGGCTTCAGAGCCTATACCTCTATGTCAGCTTTGGTCGCTATATCAAGGGGGTACTCACTGCGTCAAGGAGAAGCTGGTGTATCATCTTGGTGATACCATTGAACTCCGAATGTGCGGCATCACTGGGGCGACCACCGATAAGATCCAGTGCTGGGGCGACATACATGACTGCAGGCGCCTCAAGAGATATACCGTGCTTGGTCGAAAACGCCTCCTTCTTGTACTTTTGGTGCAGTTCCTCATCCATCCAACGACGAAGGCGAACCATCTCCATATGGCCACGGGCATTGCCTATCACGTCGACGTCGAGGTCATCACGGTTGTTGGAAGTGACGAGACACGATCGGCAACTAAGATTGGCCGCGACACTTAGACACCCTGAGTTCTGTTGTTGCTGTGGCATGTCGCCGGTCAGGGCGAAGATGGATGCGCACAGCATAGTGCGCTCCCCATTGATATCGACAGCAATACCACGGTCGAGAGCTCTCAGCGGCGCCAAGGCCTTCATGACATCGTGCATATTGGCACCATGTGGTCCCAGTGTAACCGGTAGGACGTTGATCTGGCGGGTGTGTTCGCTTCTCGGCATAGCGGCGATCTGAAGATAGCAGCCCATGATGGACTTGGTCATAGTGCGATACAGGCCAAAGCCATCGTTGAAGTTCAGGCACGGGAGACACCGGACACGACCCTCTGCACCTTGAGCGAACGTCTTGACCAGCCAGTCGCGGCCAAACTCATCGACTTCAAGGGCACCAGGGACCAGAGAGACTAGGCAGGGTGGCACCAGCGCCATATGCTCCCGGTCGAATATGCGGGTGATCAATGGTTGTTCACGTCTAGCGATTGGATCACCCGGGAACCGCACTTTGCTGCCAAACGCATAGTCGAAGCGGATGTTGTCGCGACGGCCGGTGACCATGGCTGGTGAAATAAGCTCCATTGGGCTCATGCAAAGGACCAGCTCGTCGTCATCTAGTGTATCTTCGGCTGGGTTGATCTTGATCGCCTTGCCCTTCTGGACGAACTGTCGATTGATGAACTTGCCAGAACATATCCGTGAGATAACCAGGACAACATCGCCTTTCGTGTTCTTCTCAGCCCCGGTGCTGGGGTCGCCGATGAAGTTGCCGAGATGACGGGAACTATCGCGATGATCGCGGAACATTGCCTGGATCTGTCCGAGATGGACTTTCGTGGCGACCCTGACATTTGTAGCGACCTTTTCATGGCAGCCGGTACAGGCTGGGAACGCGCATTGGTATGCGATAATGTCGCCAAGGAAGATGGGTTCCATGGAAGGGAAGGGCGGATAGTATGCGAATTCGCCGCTGGTGGTGCGTACCGAGCCGGCCCATTGCATCGAATGCCACGCCTCCGACGGGTTATCCACAAGTTGAGCCATACCGAAGTGTAATGTGCTGGAGATGCGGGAGCTAAGAATGCGGCGAAGGAGGTCCACAGGGTTCAAGAAGAAGAGGTCCTGTGTAGGGCTTTCACCCGACATGATTACCGACAACATCCGGGACGACGACAACTTTCTTAGGGTTCAGCGGCAGGTCTTTGACCACACCCATGTCGATACGCGGTATCGATTCCCGGACGTGGCGCTTCAGAGTGTCAAGGCTATCGGGCAACTGACTGATCTTATCGGAATGACCAAGCAGTTTGAGAAGTTGAAGGAGAGTCGAGTATTGCTTGCGGGATACACTGTGAATGATGCAATACAGGCCTAAACCCAAGGCAAACTCCGACAGGTCGTGTGCTTTACGGTGTTGCTCAACTGGTTGCGAGGCTGCGAACGGGTCTTCGGGCTCGGAGGTTTGGTATTGACCGGTGGTGTCCCAGGGTGCGGCAACCGCGATGGTATCTAGCACCTCCTCTTCATGTTCATCGGCGGCGGAGATGCCTTCCGCTTCATCGTCGTGGCTCTCGATGGTATCAGCGGCATACTGGTACTCGGCCAGTTTCTGCAGCTCTTGCTGGAGCGGACCGTCGTCTGCAAGTTGATACTCCTCGGTCTCGGGGTTGGGATAGACGACGTGGTCTGCTTCGTTCACTACATCGATCAAGGCTCGGGCAAGCTCGAAGTCGTCGAAATCCTACAGGCAGCAGATTAGTGATCTGGTACATGAGTAGTTGGTCTAACCTACAGTAGCAGATGTGATCGGTTCCCGATCGCCGCCATCGCCGTCGCTATCGGTCGGCTCTTTGTGACGAGGACGCTGAGGCGAAGAGCCACGTTCCCGGTCGGTCGAGTCAAGGCGCTGGCGCTTTGCAGCTTCGCGCTTCTGCAGTCGACGACGACACTCTCATCAATCGCCTTCTTCGCACGATGCTGTAAAGCAGCGTGGCGTCTCTGAGCTTCATGAAGAATCAGGACATCATACGACGAGGGATAACGACGCGACTTGCGAGAGAAAGTGGGAGATGGGAGGCGGGAGGTGGAGTGGTTGAAAATTCTTGAGTTGTTGTAAAGGCTTATTGACTGGAAGGTGCCTGTGCCCGGGCCTATTAACATGGAAGGTACGTTGTGAGGCCGAAAAGGGGCTTATTTCAATATACACCAAAAACCTGAACCTTCGACCAACCTTCAATTGAACTTACTATTACCACGATCGCAACTGCTTCCACTGTTTCCACGGCGTTTGACTACTTCATTTCAACACAATTGCCAATTTTGATCATTGAAGCTTTGGATTGACAGCAATTTGAACTTGAAGCAAATGGGTATCATGCTAATAATGAAGGAAAAGGCAAAACACACGCCAAACGCCCACACAACCCCCCACCGCTTACTCCTCCCTGTCCGACGGCGGCGCCTCGTCAATCACAAATCGTTCTACATGTTATATAGCTATCAGCAATCCTACCCAAGCCATTCATACCAGACGCTTGGGGGGGAGGGAGAGGGATTACTTACCGAGGTTGGCCTTGGTCGTCGCAGAGGAGTTCTTCTTCTGCTTCTTCTGGCGGCGCTGCCGCTCGAAGACCCACGCAAAGTGAGTCTCGTTGAGACTCCTATACTCTATTACAATGATGTCAGTAAGCATCGCAATCCCATAGACAAATAATAACATACCCGACTTCTTTGGCATGTCGTCGTAGTACGACAACAACTTAACGCGGCGAGCAATACCAGCGTCCGCGTCCTGCTTCTTGACCCGCATCCTACCCGCCAACACCAATAGTCAGTCCCAAAGCCAAGTTCACCAATCCCTGCGTATACAGTACATACCACTCTGCTACCTCTAGGGCCAGGCCTTTGAACATCGCTTCCCTCTCGCATTAGCACAACCTAACCCGCATGCGAATGATACTTACTGCGTATATAGTACTGTCCCAGTTTAGAAGACCGCTTGAAGTCCAGCCGCCCCTCCATATATGTCCACACTTTAAAGAAGCTCTCCTCCGCCCAGGCCGCATCCGTCATCCGCTTAAGGTAGTCCCGAGGGACTGGCAGCTCCACATTGAGTATGTTTGTATACTCAGGGTGCTCGGCATGGGTTGTAAGTAGTTTCTGTCATATATTAGTGCTAGCCACCATACAATTGCCAACAGATCCATGCCTCCATATGCTCGAGCACGCGGAACTTGTAGTTTTTCTGGTCGTTCATGAACCGCGTACGGGCCTCCTGCCACTCCAAGCCGAAAGGGTCCACATCGTCGCCGTAAATACTCTTAATGTTCTATTGCCATATTAATTAGAAACTAACAACCAAATAACTAGACAGGGGTAGTATTACCTCCTCGTCCTTCTCGGGCTTGCGCTGGTGGAACAAGAAAACTTGCCGCAAACTCACGTCTGTGAGCTTACGCTCGTTGGCGTCGTCCTTAGCCATCTCGGCCGCCACTGCGTCATCATTCGAACCCGGTTGTTCTGGCTCGGGCTCGGGTCTACGGCGGCGTTTGGTAACGCGGCGAACGTCCATCGAGGTTTTGCCCCAAAGGGTCTTCTCTCTCTCGGTCTGCCACAACAGATGTCAGTCAAATGGCAGAGGACAGCAGCCAGTGTACTATACCAAGGAACTCTTTGCATGTAGCTTGTAGTCCAACTGTCAGCTAGGTTCATTCACAACTTGGAAAGGAAGGACGAGACTTGAAGCCTTACAGGATTGGTGGCGTTGGCGTTGGCGTTGGCGTTGGCGTTGGCGTTGGCGCTGGTACTGGTGCTGGTACTGGTACTGGTGCTGGTACTGGTACTGGTACCCGTGCTGGTACTGGTGCTCTGCTGGGGGGGGTTGGGGTTGGCGTCCGCGCCCGGCTTCCATAACACTCTGTTAGCCCGTACTGGCCAGCAAAACACAAGTGTCCAATGTGCCATACGCCTCGCAGGAGGGGATCGACGAGGTTATCGTCAAGTTCGGTCCCCCATAGATTAGACATGATGCTATACCAGGTTAGTTACATATCCTCCCACAAGCTCCAACGCCATAATTGTATACTAACAAAGGAGGGGTCGCCGGGGGCGAGAGTATAGTGATAGAGGACTACGCAGTGATCTCGGTTAGTCGAATCAGTCATATACAGAACTTGAAGCCAGCCTTCTACCCTTCTTCTACGTACAAGGTATTGCCTGGCGTGAAGTAAGGCTTGTGTTGTCAGTGCTAACCGGGTTCCATTAGCCTTAAGCAAATACAGGGACCAGCAAAAGAACTGGACATACCGGCCTCTTGCGTGGAGAAGGCCTGTTAGTGTACGGGCTAACATCTTATCAGCTTTGAGCCGTTGTGGCACGATGCATGGAACGGGCATACATGGCTTGAAGTAGGCCTGGAGGGGTGGCACGACGCAGTCGGGATTGGTAGAGATACTGTCCGAAAGTCCCGTCAGCATATGTCAACTACCTATGTACCTAGCTCAAACTTCGTCGGGGGTAACAGGTAATAAGGGCAAGTACCAGACACTGTCCCATCGCAATTGGTTGCGCCATAATGACTCGTGAATGCCCGGGCATCTTCGCGCATTGGATGTCACAAGTCGTGGTGAACTGCAGCGAATGGAACCGAGGGCATTTGGAAACCAGGGGCAATGGCTTTCACCACAACCTTGAAAGTAGGGGGCTGACTTACAGAGACGGGCACCACGGGCAGCGGCAGAGACGGGACGGGCGGGCGGCACAGCGGGGAGAAAGGATGGCGTGGTACCGACGCGTCAAATTCGCTAAGTCAATTTGGTGGGTGGCTGCCTCAGGAACGGCTCGCGCCTCAGGAAAGGCTCGTGGCCCAGGAACGGCTCGCTGGTAAAACCGGCTCACAAATTTAAGCAGCTTCAGCAAATAAGTAGCACATGAGCTATTACATACTAGCTTGTTTAGTGTAAGCCGCTGGAAAAACTGGTGGCTCATATGATGAATTGCTAAGTTAAAACAACTGTCGTTGAACGACTTGAGTTAGTCAAGCCAGACATTAATAATTCACTTTTATCAGCAGCTTCAGCCATTAGAAACGTCTTCTTGAGAAGCCGTCGATCAATGGATCATGATGCAAATGGCTTCATTTCCGAACCGTCTTCCATATTGAACCGCTCATCGGCGTAAATCGTGTATCAACGGCTTCGCCCGCACAAGCGAATAACAAGCGGCTTCCTGATACCGGCTTTGCTCCGCTAAGTTGGCGGAGCACTGCAGCTTGAAAATTGAGACCGTGGTCGCCGGGCCAGTTTGTGACTTTGTCTAACATTTTTCGGTCGGCTCCTGGCCAACAACTCGGCCGGGAGAACGACGTGGACTCTCAAGTGTGGAAGGTCAATATCAACGGAGCTGGTTTCTTTGCACTCAAGATGGTACGTGACGATGCAGTGCGCCAGTCTCTGCTTCGCCTCTGCCGCCTTTAATTGTTGGATTCCGACTTGAAGTCTACTCTCTAATCAGTTTTACTTCCGCCGCTCGGACTACCTCGTTGAGAATTACCTCGGAGATCTTGCCCTGCCGCTCGCCAACCCGCAGCTCTATGTCGACTACTTTGACCCGTTCAACTGCGAGTGCCGTGTATATGGTCGTCTCAAGGAGGAGAAGCGCGAGGACCTGACTGTCAAGGCCTTGGGATAACTCCTTCTCACCCCGCAGCAGGAGGCCCATTTGGCCTGGAAGGTGACGGGTGAGCCCGGTCATCTTCCCGATGCTAACGCCGGCGAGTTGGATGGCGACAATTTCTGGGGGCGGCATGGGCAGTACCGCGAACTGCCCGTTCGTGCCATCGTCAAGGAACTCGTCTCCCAGAAATGGACCACTTCCGACGAAGTCCAGGGCATGTGGGCGGACCTACAAGCAATCCACTCGCCGGGCATTCTCGTGGGAGACACGCACGGCGGCAACTACCTGGGCGGGAAGCTCGTCGGCTTCAGCCGGGCGTGGACTATGTACCATCCGGCTTTGATCCAAACCTGCGGCAATAAATGGCAGGAGTTGATGTTGGAAGAGCTGCAGAAGCTACAGGATAACTACTATGATCTGAGGAACAGTTTAGCGCCAGAAACGCTCGACATCCCTCAAGGCCTCGAGGCGTTCTGTTCGAGGCACATTGCCTACTACAGAAATCTCCCGAGCGCCTACAACTGGGCTCAAGTGGGAAATGGACGCCGACTCGGCACTCGCGTTCGTTGTGGAACATAAGCCTACCTATTCAAGAGGGCTTGAGCGGCAGACTCGCGACCTCAATATCCGTACACCTTTCTGTGAACGTATGTTAAGGTGTACAAGATTCAGGTGGATAAAGCTACCTTGGGAGAGGGAGGATGGGTGCAGGGTAGACGAGGGCATCTTCCCATTCAGGTCATAGTCGTCGAGTACACCACGTCCACGCTCTATGTCGTCTCTGGCACAGAGTGACCCACAGCACGGCGTCCCGATGTCACCGGGATACGTGCATGTAATCACAGCAGACAGCAAAACCTGCGCAGTTACAGGCACAGAGTCACGGTAGAGACTTATGCTGAAAGTTGGAAGTACCACTGGTTGAGGTCTAAAACAGGAAGAGGGAGAAGTGCTCCGCGTCTGGGCAAACCATGGCATTTCTCGGATGAGTATTGAGACCCTGAGGACGGGACTGGACATAGCCTTCCGGAAGAACTCGTCCCCTGTTGGTTCACACAGGTACTTGTAGCCCTAGCTTCCCACGCAAACCGCATAGTCCAGCCACAAGGACTCCCAGCCGGATCCGACGCCGGGGCTCCATCTGTAAAAGTCGTCCAGCGAGATACCGTAGTGATCCGCAATATCCCAGCAGCCGTCGCCGCTCACCACAAGTTGCCACTTCTGACAGCTGGCTATCGCCCCGGGCTGCGTCTCCGCCGGCGGCGCCACTCCTCCCGTTGTGGTGGTGGCGGCGGTAGTGGTGGTTTGCAACGCCGCGCTCGTCGTTGTCGGCGGCTGTGTCGTCCGCGGGATGACTGTACCTACTAATATCGCGTTGCGCTTCTCTCCTTTCTTCCACGTAGCAGACCTGACTTTCCCAAGACACTGATAAAGCTCTGAGCTTCACAGGCACTGGCATGATGAAACTCTCCCAGTTTGTGCTTGCTGTACTGTTGGGCAATGCTTTGGCTGAGCAAAGCCATCACCCACATCATGTTGTCAACAAAAGGTTTTCCGCTCTGGAACGACGGGCTCGGGATTACAAAGAGTCCATGGCATTGCATAGACGGGAAGACCTCTCACTTGAGGACCCGGAAGTTTGTCTCTGCAGCTCTGTCCCTCCCTCCTTCGCGTCTCTACGCTAGCACATGGCTAATAATGCGGAATAGAGCCCTGCGTTAATGGCGCTTGTTGTGGTAGTACGTCTTACTCTGGCCTTTGTTTCGGTGGTGGACAGGGAGACACTGACTACCTACCCACCCTCCTCCAGAGGACGGCTGGTGCGGATATGGACCGACGTACTGCGGTACCGGATTCACCAAAAACTGCCAGGCCCATACCGAGTGCGGTAATATGCAGTGCCCGCAAACAAGACTTGCCCTCTCAATACTTGTTGCTCGGAGTTCGATTTCTGCGGCACAACGAAGGGCAAGTAGCCCCCTGGCCCTGTGTGCGTCACGACCAGTATCACTGACCTGCTTTCCGATGATTCAATCTTTGCACCGGAAAGTACCAGTCTAATTGTGTAGAACATCCCAATCCACCGGGAGGGCGTGGTACTGGCAAGACCCTGTCAAAGTGTGAGGGAAATGTCCTCCGTGCCGGGACGTAACCCTCTCACAACTTGGTGAACAGTCATCGGTTACTCGCGACGCATGGAAGGACAGATCGCAATGTCATCAAATTAACGCCGACAACCTCCCTGGTATGTCCAGGTT